AATATTTCCCCAGCCCCATTTTAACAAGATATCTGGTCCTAAAGCTAGTCATCTGGGAAAATTCAGACTGTTCAGAGTTCTGAAAAAGAACTTCTCTAATTCTCTTGGGATGATGCAATTTTAAGAACAAGTAGGAAGCCACATGGGTGACTGAGTGGATGGGCTCATTTTTTAAGTTCTCTTGAATTTGATGGTTTAAATGAAGGATCTTGGAGTTTTTTTCTTTTTGGTGTCCTTTACTATATTGGGATAACAAAATCCAATTAACTTTGGAGAAGTTGTAGGGTCAATCTATTTTACGACATTTTCCCCAAGGCTCGATAGATCTTTATCTCTTCCTGGACAGAGGATATCCAAGTTCCTCAAATATTTTCTAACAGTTATTCCAAGTGACTCTTGAAATGTTTCTGGTAGAATAATGATCTAAAGGTCTGATGCTTCTGAAGGAAGAGGTCCAGGATAAAAGTAATCTCTTAGCAAGTATAATTTCTATTGATTTTTCTGACTCTTTCATTGAAGAAACATAATTCCAAGACAAAAAGTTTACCTTTTGAGTACCCATTAGAATTTCATTATACATCAAAGCCATGTGATGTTTAAAATGAACTAGAAATGTTTGGTAAGATGTGTTCTTCCAAATATTTTTTCGTGAAACATGTTCTGACATTCAGTGAATTCATAATCTCTTGCAACTCTGAAGCGAACCTAACGAGTGTGGATTAGCTCCAGTTTCATGAAGACTTGTGTTACAGACGTAAATTTTACTTTATTTTTTAATTTTTGCACTTATCTTCAGATATAGTGAGAGGGAGAGAGGGATGAAGAGAGAGAGAGAGAGAAACATCAATGTGAGAGAGACACATTGAGTGGTCGCCACCCACACGACCCCAACCAGGGCCGGGAACAAACTGCAATTGAGGTATGTGCCCTTTGCAGGAACCGAACTCAGGACTCTCTTGTCCACAGGCCGATGCTCTAACTGCTGAGTCAAACTGGCCAGGGCCATAAATTTTACTTTAGATAAAATAAATAGAAGTCTTAACAATTCTTCCAAAGTAGAAATAATAAGAAATTAGCAAAGACTATTCCAGTCAAAACAGGAAAATTCAATTGAAGGGAGCTACTTGTGATGTAATATATTTAGGATCATAGAAATGATCACTAGAAATAAAATAATTCTTCTTAGTTTAGAATATTTAAAAAGTCGATCACTGTAAGAATGGTCTCAAATATGGTTCACAGGACAGGCATTGTTACTGTTTGGGTCAGACAGAACTTATGTCATTTTTAAAATTAATGCCTTGAAATGTATCTGAACAGATGAAACAAGAAGATAAAAGTCATGCCCTGGCCGGTTTGGTTCAGCGTCTAGAACATCGGCCCACGGACCAGAGAGTCCTGGGTTCAGTTTCTGCTAAGGACGTGTACCTTGGTTGCAGTTTGTCCCCAGCCCCTGTTGGGGTCGTGTGGGTGGCAACCATTCAATGTGTCTCTCTCACGTCAATGTTTCTCTCCCTCTTCCTACCTTTCTCCCTCCTGCTCTATCTGAAGATAAATGCAAAATGTCCTTGGGAGAGTATTAAAAAAAAGTCATCGTGCTCCCTTATGTAACAGAAAGAAAAACACTATGGAGTTATTCCATACCTATTCTGTTTACTACACTGTTAATGTAATAAAATAAAGATCTAAACCAATTTGAGAAATATGTACTATGCAAATTTATTTAGCATAAAAATGTCTGAAAACTACAATTTGTAAAATAAGTAAAAACTGTATTATTGCAATAAAAACATCTATTTATAAATGTATTTGAGAATAATTTACATGCTCAATTAAATATATCTAAAACACACTGTAACAATCATTTTCTTACTTAAAATATGGATTATTATCATTATGCCAGGTAGACTAAAAAAGTATTTTTTCTTTAGATTAAAAAATGATATCACTAACATCAGACATATTTTTAGGTTGATTTTTCATTCATGGTACTAAATTTCATGGTGATTTTTAACCAAGCCCATCACAAATGTGATTAAAAGTCACCACAAATTTTACTCGAATGTACAACAGAGGTCTTTTTTTTTTTTCAGTTATAGTGACTATTGTAAGTTTTCAACTCATGATGGGAGCACCATCACACTTCATTTAACCAATGGACCTTGATTGTTCCAATGTCCACTGGTTAAGTGAAAACTGAACCCTCAGGCACCCTACCTGTTATCATGGAAGTGGAGATTCTTTTCTGCAACTTTTGTCATCTTTAAACTCAACATGACAATAAAATATTTTGATGTGTTGTCTTGAATATTTATTTATACAGATGTAGCTCTTGGCCCACATTACTTATTGATCTTCTCTTTTAACGTCTATTGCCACTAACATGTATTACTGTACTAAGCGGCCTCGCCTTTGGACCTCATCCTCCGGTTCCAGGCCACACAGAATGGTTAGCACGATCTTTCTCAGACACTGTGGTGATACTTTTTCTCCTCTATTTGAGAATAGCTAGTAACTCTCTATTGCGTGTTATATCAAATATAAACCTTTTATCCCACGAGTTAATATTCTCCTTTCATTTGACCATTTCTCATTTAGCAATCTCACTTCTTCGTGCTCTTTGGTGCAGTTTCTCTGTTACTTCCAAGCCATCTGGTTGTTGTTAGCATGGGATTTGCTTCTAACTGCTTCCTGCCTGTGCAGATGTCACTCTGAATCACTGGGAGCCCACTGCTCCCGAGGCAGCCAACTCCATCTTTACTGACCCGAAAGCAGTCCTAGTATACCTTTTTTACTTTTTTTGTTGTATCTACATCAATCTAACGAGGTCTTCTTCCTGAATTGTTTTGCATATGTGTGTTGTGTCTACAGTGACACTTTTTATAAGCTGTAGAGAAGGAGCTTTATATCTGTCATTCCCACATTTTCATAACGAGACCTCTCCTCCCCTCATCCCAGAACCACAGCAGCTCAAACTCTAACTTTGTGCACAGACATGATTAAAACATGTTTGATGAGCAAGCTACGTTCTAAATATGGAATTATTTATATGCAGAAGTTTATATATACTTAAGTATATGTATAAAGAATAACATCTCTACCTCAGCAATGATTCTGAGAATTTTAATTGTACAGATGGAATGCAAGCCGGATCACCCGCTCTCACACCCCATGCACACAAAATGCCTGAAGAGTACCAATAGTTTAGCTAAGAAAACATTGCACTTTGTATGTTTATATATAATTGGTTAGCTGAGACAATGTTACATGTTGTATATCTATCCAGACTTGGAATGGCTTGATTTTCAAAGTATGTAATGCACTATTATTTTCTAGATCATAGAACAATTGACATATTTAGTTCCCTATCTGTTATGTAACATTTCAAACAAATGAGGAAAAAAGGAATTGATAGTTTACCCTACATTTTATAAAGTGAATGTAAGACAATATCTTGGCATTGTTAATACAGAAGAAGACAATTATTACTTTCAAATAGCCTATGCAGCCTGACCTTTCATTAGTCTCTCTAAATTGTTAGCATCTCCAAATGTCTTTGCATTTTAAACTTTTCAAAAATTGTGTTTCCATAACAATTTTAATTGAATCTCCTGTGATGTTATTTTAATCATGGTAATCAGCCACAGCATATAATTAGGTTTCAATCAGAAACTTTAATACTCTGTAATAATCTGAGAGTAAATACATAAAAATGTTTTATCTATGTGGGTTTCTTCTCCTGACTTCCCCCTATCTTACTCAAGTGCACTTAAAAGGGTGATAATTGACCGTCGAGAGCAGAGGTTGCTTTCCGTTTGTCTCACACAAGGTAGGAAATATTGTCCAGAAGCAGCTAGACTTTTTACTAAGGCTGTTATTTCTCTTATGACCAATAAGAATGGACTTGTTTGTAGAATGGCTGCTTAGGGTTGAGAGCGCACCTCTGGGTCATGCAGGAGATTAAAGCTCTGGGGCACGGTTGGCATGGGAGAGGTGGTAGCGAGGGAGGAGGGCTTAGCTATAGCCCCCATTGCTGCACTCCACTACTTCCCAGGTCCTGAATTACCAGCAGTGGATTATTCTTGTTCAGTTTTTGTTATTACTAGAGTTCTTTAAAGCCCACTTTTATGTCTTTCCATTTATCATCTATGTAATTTTAGAAGTCAGAATGCATGAGGCTCCGAGCTAATTGTGCATTCTATTACGCCTTTAGATATCTAGATGAAAGTCATGTCCCAACACTCAATCCTTTCCCTAGAACTCATTTCCACAAGTGATGATTTAATGATCTATTTATTTTAAAGGTTTGCCTTTGGGAACAATGATTTTCCTGGTTAGCTCATTTGAAAGAATAGACATTTTCTTTCATGAAATCTGTAAGTCTTTAGAAAAATTATATGGGCTTTGAAAAGACATTTAATACAAAACGTGTTGACACCTATGTTTTGATTGCCCCCAGGTATTAAACATGGGAACCACTAGCTGTGGAAGCAGTATGGATGAGGGCAAACTGCAGTTTTGTTTTTCAAAGTCAGTTTGTGTGAGTAATAGAAGAATGTTATAATGATGGAATTCTTAAATGTGATGATTGCTGACCAGTTTTCCCCGATACTATTGTTCTATTCGTATCATGTTATATATAACTAGCTTGCTAGGAATTCACATATTAGTCTTACATTTGCCTTTTAACTTGATCTCTTAATTTCCGTTTTACTCTGGTTTTGAACATCTGTCTGCAGTAATAACACCCATGACTTTTATGTATACAGGTCATATACTTGATTACAATGAAGAGACATTTTCCTATGTTTCTAACCGCAGAGTGCAGTATTTTTCAAGAAGAGGTGCCTTTGTGATTTAGTATATATTCATTTCTGTTAGACTGTGCTTTTGTTGAGCTCTGACAATACAGTTCAATCAGAATGTGTGCAAAAACCCTTCTGCTATGAATGCTACATTAATATTTTCTAAAACTTAAGTCAGAAATACGACTTCAACCAAGTGCTGGATTTAGTGAGAACAAAAGCAAGGTGGATTTCAGGTACGGAAGGACCGTCTCCTTCTAGATGTCAGTCTCCACCCCGGAGCCACATTTGCGGCAGAAGATTTCCTTGTTCTGAGTCAGGAAGCCTTCCCCCACCAAGGAGACGGAGCACTTCCCACAGTTAAAGCATTCACTGTGCCACTGGCGATCTTGAAAGCAGATAAACTTGGCACCTCGGAGGCCTGTAAAGGGGTTGGAGAAAATTATGTTGTTTCAATGAATAGATTGAGCATTTTATCATGGACTCTTCTAGGAACTGGAGATACAGCAAGACTATATTGTGGCAAGTGACCTCAAAAAGAATGCTGCCCCCGTGGTTCAGTATCTATCTGGGAATATCACCCACAGGCAAGTTCCTCTGGTGAGATCCACTCTGATTCCCAGCTTTTCATAATCTACAGAAGTAGGTGGATTTTGGATATAAAAAGCACATATTTTTGGAAACAGACAAGGATGGCTAAGACAGATAAGGAAATGCAGTGTAGAGCACTGGGAATAGATATATAAACACAGGTCTCTTTCTTCTTTCTCTCTTTGTGCCCCTGTTTTCCTCGAGCCAACGTTAAGATATAATAAAATGAATGTGTACTTTGTAGCCTGATATCTGATATTTTGATGACCTTTAGTTCTCATCTCTTTCCTCTGTTTCCATGTTTAAATTTTATTTAGGATAAAGTCTCATGGTCATATTGTGGTTTGGGATAAAACTTCCAAAAGCCTCAAATAGAGAATTTCATGTAACTAGCCTAACATGGTGACTTTATTATTACCTTGTCCAGAGACAACTTCAGCCTGGACTTGTGACAAAGACCTGATCACTTTGACACCAGGCTTTCCAATGATTCGTTTCTAAGAAGTGCCTTGTCAGCCTCCACCACTTGGGCCTCACTTGGGCCATAATGTTTTAAGAAAGGTAGAATTTGAGTCTTCAGTGGACACTATCTCTATATCCCTAATATGAACCCAGAGTGCAGTTCAAGGAATTGATTTTGAGGAGAAAGTTCTAGGAATTGGGAAGGGATTGGGGTGCCCTAAGCTTGGGTCTTTATTTATTTGCCAAGTTTTTTCCAAGTGACCTTAGAACTATGAACTTCCTTTGATTTCCTTATCACCCATAGAGTGAGGCTAAAATTCATGTACTGATTCACATATAATTTCACATATACAATTTCCAAATATTCCATTTGGGATGGGGAAGTAGAAAGAGTGACTAAGCATTCTATTTCAGATAAACTCTCCTTAAAGATTATAATGAACTTTTATTTCCATTCTAGAAATGTTATTTGATGTCTTTACATATAATTTACTAGTTCATAGATACATTTATACCAAATTTCTCTACTTTCCATGATTAAATTTATAGCTTGCTATTTATGATGCCATTATCACTTTCTAATAAGAGTAAATCAATAACAAACCAATTATTATTTTAATGTTATTCAAAACATTAATAAGCTGACTACAAGAATAATGTTCTCTATATATGAAAATCATCCTTGTTTATAAAACTAATATTATATATACATCTAACATTTTGATGCTCGTGGGTTTTTCTTGAGTTTATTAATAAGCCTGTACAGTGGCAAGTGTAAAAACAATTCTAGAATTTTACAAAGAAGGAAAGAAATAGAACCATCTGGTAGCAGGAATTTTAAAAAGGCCTGACTGAACATGCAATGTTTATGAATTTTTTCAATTTTATTTTATTTTTTTAAGTTTTTTTTTTTCCATTTATTTTAGAGAGAAAGGAAGGGAGAGGGAGAGAGAGATAGAAACATTAATTCGAGAGAACATCGATTGGCCACCTCCTACATGCCCCAACTGGGGATTGGGCCCACAACCTGGGCATGTGCCCTGACTGGGAATCGAACAGATGACCTCTTGGTGCATGGGTCGACACTCAACCACTGAGCCACACCAGCCGGGCAAATTTTTTCAATTTTAGATATGCTTACTCCCTCAGGACATAAGGATCATTTGCAGTAAGAAAGTCATCCAGGAAACAGGTCTCCAACACCTGTTTTTAATCTGGCTTCATTTACTCCTGAACATTCAGTAGAATAAGAGTTAACATTGGTGGAGCTCTTGAAGATAAACCCATCAATATTCTAAGTTCTTTACATGTGTTAATTCATATAACTCTCTCCTCACCTCACAGGGTAGACATTATCACTAACCGTACAGCCGCTGGCCCAAACCACCCAGCTGTTAAGTGGCAGATCTGGATTTAATCCTAGGCCATCTGGTTTCACACCCTGTTATCTTAAATCCACCAAATTAAGCCTGAATTTATCTTTTGTTAAACCCAAAACATTAGCATCCCTTTCTAAAGAAATCATAATATTTGAAACCCCCTTTAGTTAAAATAAACAGAAATGAAAGAAAGCTAAAATGTAATCCTATTCAACTCCTTATTTTGAAAATAAAGCCAATAAGGACCTCAGAGGTGAATTATTTACCCACAGTCACACAATAGTCAGGGGCAGGGGCAAGACCAAGGCAATTTCTCTCTAGTCCAGAGTACTTCTCACTACATCAAACTGCTTTGTGTGTATCCCAGAAGGTTAGAGAAGTTAGTCCTATCTTAGAGGAGGAGAAAAAATATATATAGTTTTATCTTGGATTTGTTCAGATGACTCAAATTCATTGTGATGAAATTAAACATTATACTTGGTGATTTCCAGATTTAGGTAATATAAAATAGTATTTTGAAAACATTTTAACGTAATTCCTTGGGTGAAATATTGTTTGCATGAATATGCAACTTTATATGACAATATAATAATTGTAAAGAACACTCCTGTAAGATTTATATATGTTTAAGAATTAGATAAAAAATATTAAATTCCAGTTGAAGTATATGCTGGCATTTTGGTCTCTTGTATCTCTCACTCACAGAGCCAAAAGAGTAAGATAATTATCAAAAGACTGTTCAGACTAAATTAAATACCTCATCCTGCATTTGGATTACTTTTGGGTCAAATCTCTGGTTCCTGATTATTCTTATGTTACAAGCAACAATGTGGTTTTGCTGTATGAACCTTATTAAAAAGCTGGGCTCAGTGATTGACCTGCAACAGCTCATCAGAAAAAAAAATGTCTTAGACACATGAGTTTGTTATATATAGATCAGAACTGAAACTCATCAAGTTTAGGGCTCGAGTAGGCTCTTTGCAAACTCTTATTAGCCATTTGGGCCCCTAAAAGTTTTCAAATCCATTTTGAATCACGTAATTTTCTCATTTCCTCAAGGAAGCCCCCCTTTTTGTTCTGACTAATTCAAGAAAAGTATTCTAGAATAAGTCAATTGAATCTGCTGGGTTGTGATTGCAGACTCTGCTAAGGAGATTTTGGAGCTCCAGGTACTATTGCATCTCTGTAGACCCATTTTTTAGATAAAATCAGTGAAGATAATAGCTTATTCTCTTGACTGCAGGAGTTGCCAGATGTGTGAAGAGCAGGAAAGTAGAGTGGTTAAGAGGCCAAGATTTGGAGCCTGATTGTATGGGATTGCCAAAGCAAGTCCTTGAAAGGGCAGAAAGGTGATGTATCTGAGTGACGAAAACAAGGTTGAGGAACAGAGAGGGAGGCCCAAACCATGGAGCAGCCGCTTAAATTCCATGACAGTGACCTGGCTCTGGAATGTAAGGGCAGTCTGCTCACTGGGAAGGGTTTTACATTACATTGCATTGTATTACACTACATTGCATTGCATTGCATGGTTTTCAAACATGTGCAGTCCAGACAAAACATGGCTGCTGGCCAGAACTAGCTGAGGATCAGTGTGAGATTCTGAACAACACGGTGCCCCTGATAGACAAACCAGGACTGTGCTCTGTGTCCCAGGTAAGTCTCTCCACTCGCACGTCAGCGAAAGCCTGAAACGCCAGGTTTGCAGCAAACCTGTTTTCTTTCATTAAAGATCCATGAACAGCCCTTGCCTGTTTGGCTCTGCGGTTGGAGCATCAGCCTGTGGACCCCAAGAGTCCGGGTTTGATTCTGGCCAAGGGCATGTACCTCGGTGGCGGTTCGTCCCCGGCCCTGGTTGGCTCTTGCAGGAGGCAGCCAGTCGATGTGTCTCTCTCAAGTTGATGTTTCTCTCTCTCTCTCTCCCCACTACTGTAGCTGAAGATAAATGTAAAAATATCCTTGGACAAGGATTTAAAAGAAAAAGATTCATGAAGATTCAACTTTTATTTTGTGATATATTTGAAGATGGAGGAGAAAGAGAGGGATACAATCATCTTTAATTCAGTATTACATAAACTGAACTAAAAATGAAATATGATCTAAGAATACTAGGAATGGGGCGTTCTTCCACATTATTCAGTAATTATAAATTGCCCAAAAGAATGACTGCTGGGTTTCTTAGGTGCCGTGCTAGCTTTCATTCCTTTTACTATAGGAACGGCATTGAAAAAGGGTCCCTGAGGAAAAGATAATGTGTTTTTTGTTTGTTTTTTTGCCTTGAAAATCTATTCAACACAGATTGATTTACCATTTACGTTACTTTCAACTCATGCCACGTGTACTTTGTTTCTTCAGCAGAATGCTATCTTGTTTTATTTTATCTATTCATAATTAAAACTTATTGCAAGGGAATAGACGGGAAAGAGAATAATACATTTTGTAGAAGCATCTTAAAATGAAGTTTAATTAATTCCTAACCTATGCCACCCTAATTAGTACAGCTTTGGATTTTGGTACAATACTTACATTTAATTAAAACTTTTTCTATTTTAAGATCCCTTCATCCTTGTTTGGAATTAAACAGGATTTTGATTTTCTTTTTATTTATTTATTTATTTGTTTTTTTTTTTATCCTCACCCGAGGACATTTTTCCATTTTTTGTTCAGATAGAGCGGGAGGGAGAGAGAGGAAGAGAGAAAGAGAGAAACATCGACGTGAAGGGACACATCGAGTGGCTGCCACCCTCATGACCAACCAGGGCCGGGGACAAACTGCAACCGAGGTACGTGCCCTTAGCGGGAACCGAACCTGGGTCTCTCTGGACCGCAGGCCAACGCTCCAACCGCTGAGCCAAACCGGCCAGGGCAAGGATTTTGATTTTCAAGTATTTCTTCCTCCCACTCAAATCTTTAAAGTTCTGACTGAGATCAGGCCTCCTCCTGAAGGTCTCTGACGTCTCAGCCCATTCTGTTCTCCTCTTTTCCTAAACTACTACTTTATTCAGATACTATTAGGTTTAGCATTAATTTCCCTCTATAGAGCATAACTACCTTAATTCTACTCTATACTTGCCTTGAAGGGACTATATAATATTTATATTTATATATTTTGTGATTATCTAGAAAAGAAACCTAAGGAAAAGATTATCCTGCATTTTTGGAATGAACTATATAGCACTTACATAGCAATAAATAGCTCATGGTAGGACTGTATTAAACTAAAGAACTCACCAGTAATGGGTTTGTTGCAGGCTACACACTTTTTGGCATAAAGATGGTTGTAGCAGTCCAAGCAGAATGGATAATCATCTCTGGACATAAACTCTTCTTCACAGAGCTCCTTCCTGCAGCCACTACACAGGAAACACTCTTTATGCCACGGCTGGTCACGAAATGTTATCCAACCTGAAGTTATCACCTGCCAAAGGGTTGCAAAAATGGTAGTGACTGTGGGAGCCATTATAATTCAGACCTTTTGTAATTTTCTTCCCTGTCCACAGGTGGTTCTTTGGGCTACCTGATCACCGTGTGTCGGGCTGTCTTTTTCCTGATTTTTTTGAATTGATACGAGAAGCAAAAGGCTATAGGCATTGAACTGAACTGGTGATAAATATTCTAGTTTTTCTCCCATAATGGAACAGAAAAGAAGCAGGGCCATAACGGATCCAGAAAGAAGAAAAAGAAGTTGGCTGTTGGTTCCTTTGTTCATCTATGACTTCATTGTTGGTTTCAAAGTTCTGTCATTAGAGCTAAGATATTTTCTATACTCTCTTCTTATTTCCATGTTTACTTTTTAAGGATGCTGGGGGGAATAATCCTTTTTCTCCTGAAGGCTTTACTCCAGGTTCAAGAACATCCAGCAATAACAACCCTGAATAGAATAAATGGATAAGCACCATCCTCTGCTAATAATGATGAAAACTTCTTAAGTGTTTTTTCAGTCCTCAGCCCAGTGCTAAGGAAGAACTCTTCTTACTGTTCTCAACATGCCTACACAGTAGGGACTATTATCCTTCTCCCTTAAGAAGTGAGCAAGTACTTGGGGTTAGATGGTTTTCACCTGCCAGGGTCACACAGCGCTAACATTCAAACCTGCACAACCTGACCCCAGAGCCATGTGCTTACACATTAATATAGCATGAGGCAAGATCACTTTGCAGTGGTTAACAGTTGATAAGTCCTTGTTGAATGAATGAATAAACACCAAGAGGAAAAGTGTTTGGAAAGCAATTCTAGCATTGTAGCTAGCACAAATGGAGTATTGTGGGCAACTGTGTGAGTTTTGAGCTTAGGACTCTTAAGTAGTGAGCATTGGTTTTACATAGAGCCTTAATGTGTGATGTGCTAGAGTTTTATCAGAGATGGTTATTGGTCCTCCATGATATAATATTTTTTTCTAAATCAGTTTAATCCATGAATTCTACTTTTTAAAAAAAAGACAGAGACATCTTTCTTTAGAATCAGATGGGCAAATACTGGACAACTCTTCTTGTGCAACACTTTTTCCTCCGGACCGCAGGCCGACGCTCTAACCGCTGAGCCAAACTGGCCAGGGCCGTGCAACACTTTTTAAGTCATAGCATCTTTCGGAACCACGGCTATTGACCTGAGTAGCTGAAACTTGGGATGTGTTCACATAAATGTCTTATAATTACTAAAGCAATATTGTATCCGAGATGTATCTTGTAATCTTTGCATTTAGATTAACTTGATAAGCCATCATATTGTTGACAAATTTAAAAATGTTATTTGTCTATGAGGGTTTCAAATGATTATTCTAAAGATATTTTAAAACCTAACAACAAATATCTTAAAAACTAAAGGTATTAGGAAGAAAAGTTATTTTTCCTAAAAGAGAAAAGAAAATACACTCTTCTAACATAATGGTGTGTGTGAACACAGGCAATTTAAAATACTCCCTACTGACTTCAAATGCCTCAGAGCAGGCACAGAGGAATTCAAGATTCCTTTGATTTGTTTGGTCAAATAATTAGCAGGCTATGCTTAAAAGAGTCGAACTTGAAAAATGTATTCGCAGCAAAGTACAACTTGGTATGTACAGAGAAGGCTGTTTAATTAGGGAGAAGACACTCTGGGACATTAAACATAGTTTGCTTGTAATTATGTTCCTTTTGAAGAGGCAGGTGAATTATGATGGAGTCTAATATCTAAGCTTAGTTTTTGCCACTGATTGATCCCGAAATTTAGATCAAGTTTCTTCTCTAACAAAGTGGAGGCAATAATGTTTTTACATTCAGTAGATGACAGCCGATAAATTGCAGAAGACTCTAGTTGAAACTTGAAATGTTTGAATTCAAAGCACTTGTAGTTTGAAGTTACTTGCTGTTGGGTAGGAAATACATTTTAGTTCACAAAATAAAATCTATGAAAAAAGTTCAAAAAGCCTGATTGTCAAATCGTTTTTGCCTTTTTTAAAAAACATATTTGATCTTTGGTTAGGTTGAAACTAAAAGTTTTTCTTCTGCTTGGATAATTTTCATGAGAAACATTTATATCCAGCTTTCCTTAAAGGACTTGTGGCTTATAAAATTAAATAGAAAATAATTTGGCATGTCACGATCTGTCTACTACCCAATATAAACATATCATAAATTTTGGGTGACTTCAAGTGATGTCCTAAATATAGGACAGGCTCCTATCACCTGGGAAATGACTGTGCTTTGGCCCCAGGCAGTGCTCAGCAGCTGATGTACTTACTAGAGAAATTTCCTTCTTGAATCTTTTCAGTATCAAAAGAAACTTTCTTTTGTGTACCCAACAAATGACTTTAAGGTAACTCCCATACGTCTCATTAATATTTTAGAGTAAATCTTTAAGAAACAGCCTAAAAATGGCCAACTTGGTGGTTCCTCAACATAGTGAGATAAATCTATCCATTTTCATTTCCAGCATCTGTTTCTAAATGTGTGTCATCAACCCTGGTAGTTCCTTGGAGCTTCACAAGTCACAGGGTCACAGGGTCTGACTGTTGCTTTTGAAGTAATATTCCAAGTCAGTGTTTCCGGAAGTGTAATGGCAGTCTCTGGTGTAAGATGTCATATTACTATCGTTTGTGGTTTTCAGCCATCATTATAGTATATTTTAAGAAATATAACTTAGGGGTTTATTGCTGCCTCTTCAAATACAGAAGTAGTATTTTAAATATACCTAGAAAATTATGTTGGTGAGCATGCATGCTTGTTTATGCATTTGTAGAAAGTGGTAATGAGACTTCTCGCTGTCCAGATGCAAGAATACAAAAGATCTTAAGGGATCTGCCCAAGTAGCACATAAATCAAAAGTGTTTAGAAATCACTGTACTAAAATCCAGTGTATTTTCATGATTCAGCTTTCTCATCACAATTTATAGTGCTATTTTAAGCTTATGATGCCTCAGAGGTCAAGGATTTCTTCGAGAACATCAATATATATTTTATGGACTACAGACAGGTTTTATAAAGGTGACAGAGATGAATGACTTTTTCACCAAAAAGGCTTAGAGGATAAAAAAGAATTGGACAAAGTTTACTTGAAAAAATGACTTTTTTTTTCTTATTGGAAAATATGTTTGGAATGGGTATCCGAGTCAAAGGGCCCTACACGACACTCTGGCACTAGAAGTGAAGGAAACCACTCAAAGCTCTGAGTCTTCTTTCTGTCCTTATGTCTACTGAAGTTCCCTAATGATCTTATCACTTTTAGCTCCTACCATCAACTCTTTGGAAGCATAAAAGCTTCAAGCCAAGAAGACATGTATTACTGAGACACCGTGTGAGGAGTTAAGCACCTTGTTTAAATTGGTCTGCTTTATCATTCTGTGAGGCAATCCATATTTCTCTAAAACTAAATGGATCAAAAATTATTTTCTCTGCAATATTTTGTTCAAAGACAGTTGTGTGTTCTCTACTAGAATATACAGAATCTAGTGTAAAGCAGTGAGATTTTGGAATATTAAATTCATGTGCTGGGTGGAATTTTATGGTGATAAAAATAGATGGCTATCCTCATGTGACAGGCCATGCTTTTGGAAATGTTGGCATTCACACTAAAGACAGATAGAACATGGTAGTATCAGTTCACTTCAAATACATATATAGTGCAGCTGAAAAACAGTGGTCTGGAAGGTTCCACAAGCTTCATCCTCTTTAGATAATTACCTTCTTACAAAAGCTGCAGTAGTGAGCAAACTCCTTCTGAAAACACCGCACACAATAATTGCCACTCTCTTTGGAAATCAAAGGTTTTGTTCCTATTGGCTGTCGGCAATGCTCACACACAAAGCAGGTTTCGTGCCAGTAGTTCCCCTTAAATTCCATTTTGCGGGAGCCTGCACCCCAAAAGTAAGAGCCTGTTAGTACAAATCAAGCATAACTATTTTCTTCTAAGCAAAGATATATCAAATTACTTAAAATATATATTTTAAAGTTAAGATGATAAACAAACTGTCCTTATAAAACAATGTTTTGATGGTTCCCAAAACATCTATCTGGGGGGAGAAAAAAGTAAATAGAGTTTAGCCATAGTGACAGTTAAGCACTGTTTTTACTGAAAACTCTTGTGTTCTGTAAACTACGATTTTGAGATGTGAGAGTATTATAAGCAGGGACTCTGAAAAACTTCATGTGGTTTAGATAAATTGGGCCATAATCATCCTTTCAGGAATATTAAGAATGCCAAGTTTGATTGATGTTGTGCAGTTATGATCTTCTAGAAGATCCTTGAATCCATAATAAGAAAATAAGAAAGAATCATGTTTTTATGCTGCTGTCAGTATGGATTGAGAAAGGATCACAACATAGAGAATGAGTGTTTGCCTAAAAATGTAATGATTTACACAGACCCTTGTCTTCCCTAAGCGGGAACAAAAACTGCCATTGGTTATATCTAGGACAGGGTGTGTATTGCAATTGTTATCATTTTAAGGGTATAGATTTTTATCTGTAATCTATGGCTCTCATTCTAGTTCAAAATATTTTTATGACTCCGTTTTATGGAAACACGCAGAACACCCTAATTTACCCATGCAAGACAGAAATGATGACTAATTTCTACAGTCCACTAAATGAGATCGAGAGATAGCAAGAATGGTGTTTTTCCCAGAAGCAGGGTTTTGTTGTTAGCTACTATACTCTCCCTCTGCTTGGGCTTAATTCAAAGCATTGCAACTTCCGTTAGCGACCAGAGCTCCCCCTTGATCTTACCAGGCATGATGGTCTTCTTGCAGTGGAAGCACTTGGAGGAGCACTCATTCGAATAGCACTCCGAGCACAGCAGGCGCTCATCCTTGGCAGCAAAAGGCTTTTCCACCAAAGAGTGATTGCATTTGGCACAATTGAAGCATCTTTCGTGCCAGTGCCGGCTTTTGTAACAAAGATCCTCCGAGACAGTGAATAAAAGTTAATTAAATGTGTTTGCAACAAAACAGGCCATTTTATAAGACAAAACTAAAACACTCCTGGGACTCCTGTGCCAGGAGGTTGTGCTGGTAGCTAGAGGGAAAGTTTTTATTGGTACTGTTACTCATAGACCGGAGATTGGGGCATTAAGTGTTAGAACCTGGGGCTTCCTTGGTTGGTCACTAAAGACAGATGGCAAATAAATGGATCCTCTCCCATTTCTTCAAATTTCCTTTGCTGTCCTTTGACAAACAAGAGAGGTTTTTCATGGTGCAATCTTTACTTTTAGAGTGTCCTACTTTATTATGATTTGAAATTTAACTAAACAAAAGCTCAACACCACCTAAATAAAACAAAGGCAAAAATAATAAAAATGAAGAAAAAGACACAGTAATGTGCTTTGTATGAGGAATGAGCTATACGTGTGAAGGGCTTCAGGGCACATGGGTTTGATGAGGCTGAATCAAAGTCAGAAAATATAGATTTTGGAATCTTTACACACCCAATTACCTATGTGTTTATTCATTTATACTCTTGTGATTTCAGAAATAACTCAACATTTTTTCTGTGTAACTTTGGGCAAATAATTTAACCTCTTTAATATTTAGGTTCCTAAATTATCTCCTGAAATCATTGTGAGGATTAAAGTGTATGGTATATGTCCTAATGCTAAGCACAGTGCCTGAAACTTGACTGATGTTAACTTTGAAGATCCTTATGCCCCATAGCAAGCAATAGAGTATCAACAGTTAAATGAAGGGAAAGAGGCATTACAAAGCATTTGTCTGCGCAAATGCAGTAATTCTGTGAACTAAGGTAAGACCTACCTTGGAATTTGATCCAATTACTTCCTTGCACTCCTCACAGTAATTACAAAAGATGCGATCATAACATTTAATGCAATATGGATTGCCATCCTTTAGCATAAACTTCTTCCCAATAAGTGATGCTCTGCAATATTGACAGTCAAACTGAGAAGCTGTCATTTTGGTTCAATCCTGTGAATAAGAAAATGATTCACATATATAAAAGCAAATGTGGTTGATAAGAGAAATTACAAAGCCTCAATACAATGTGTCAAGCACTGGAATGCATTTATATTTTCTTCGGAGAAAATTCACCGTTTCGGAAAACATGCTGTAGCCATGGTGACACGCAGAGTGATTTAGGAAAGATCCCTCTCCCATCTTGGCAGTTCCTGTGTGCTTTGCTAACAAAATGCGTCAAGCCAGCAGCCAGATTGAGAAAAACCTCTTGCATTCATCGTTCACTAAATGTGGAAGTCAATGAGGATGTGATAGGGGTTGAATCAGGGCGGCTTCGCCTCAGGGATGTAAATATAAACGGTTGATGGTGCTTTCACTACCTGTCATCACGTGGTGTCCTGCTGGGGAATCCTGCAAGTGGAATTCCGTGAAATAGAAACAGTCTTTTCCCTCTAACTGAACTAGAAACTATTAATCAAGTACAGTGTACTTTCTAAGCCATTCTTACAGTTCTTAAATCTTTATTGGATACCTCATGTTTTGGACACATTCGTCCTAAGGTCTGCAGGTATCACGCACTCTCCCTTGGGACATGTTCCCTGCCCGTGGCTTCAAATATTCTGTTGACTCAAAATCTCTAGCTTTAGCCTATTTGTGACTTGCTTCCTGGGCATCTCCTCTCAAATGTCCCACACCAAGCTGGCCAAATAAAACTCTTCAGCTGGTAGGAGGCAGTCCAAGCCCCACAACTGAGCAGTTGCCCAGATGTAGAAGAGCAGATAAAACCATCAGTGGTAGAAAGAGCTATAGCCTCCTTCAGGCTTCAGGGCTAAACTAACATGTATATAGAACAAATTATAGTGGCAACATCTTACAGAATGAAAAACTGATATGAAATGTAAAGCCAAGGCCAGGATAAGAATTCTAGTTATTTTGTAAATTTAGGAAAACCGTTCAAGAACAAACCCTAAAGATTTCAAAAGGTTTAATCAGGCATGGAACATAAGTCTTTGTTTGCCATCAAAAGCAGTAGCACTGATTTTCTTCAAAAGTGAGATTTGTCATTTTTAGATTTACTGGAAATATTAGGAGCTATGAATATTTTCTAATTTTTTATCTCAGAATTTTTTTTTAACTTTAGAAAAATTAGAAAGTCAATGAATTATCATGCTTTTTACAGAATTGTAAATGTTACTTTTTATTTTGCTACATTTGGATTGTATTCCCACGCATTTTGCCCTCTTTATTTTAATGATCACGTTTCCAGCAGAGTATCTTGCTGAATACACGTTGTCATTGATTCTGTGTATAGCAGTTTTGCTATATTGTTATTCAATAATAGAAAAAAGAATGAGGATTTGGAACACGTGAGTTTTTCCCTAGGAAATATGAAAATTCAGACTCGAAAACTCTCAGTGGAGCATCCCAAAATTACCTGCAAGGAACATTGAATTCCGTAATTCATTGATTTCACAGGAATGCCCTTTCCTGGTGAGCACACTCAGTGTGTTACTGAGACTGGAAACAGGGGGAAGGAAACAGAGGTCTGATTCCCTTGACAGATTTTAAAATGCAAGTCTTATTTTCACTTACAGGGATCAAGCGTTTATCACTTAATAGTGAAATAGGGGATAACTTTTATCACTTAATATGGAAAATGCCATTTTTATCATGAATATCTATTTACTCTTAGATGTGTATACTAGCAGCATGAAGCACAGCCTCTCAGGACTTGGGAACTCCCAGGCTACTTCCATTTTGTAAGGCTATTATAAGATGAAAGGAAAAACAACAGAAAGGATTACAAAGTTGGTAGAGGGTTTCAAATATATAGGAAATGTTTACTTTCTTAAGTCCAATTATTGTTTCTTAAACTTTGTATATATATTAGAGATATTCTTTTCTACATATAACAAAAAACCTGTCTAAGGTTTTTAAAAAATAAGTGGATGATGAATAAGTAGAAGTAATATGTTCTTTCCACAGAGAAATAGTCCAGATAGGTGGAGCGCACCCAGAGAAGGTTTTTTGTGCTGCTGGTGGTCATTGAAGTTGTCCAAACAGGGAAGATCTGAGATTCCGTGGGCTGATGCAAAGGCTCCACTGCTGAGGGGGACCCTTTGAGAAGCAAAAGAGGGGAGAGGGAGACAATGAAGTTCTCCCTCTCTGTCTCTCAATACTGTTACCATGGAAATGTGCAAAGGAAGGACATGGTTCCAATATACACGAGCTTCATGCATGAACATGGTGCAAATTAAGGACAACCTGTATATGTCCTATTACTTTCCTGCTGTAGATTACAAGTTTCAATAAGGAGAGGGCTCTTCCTCCTTATGATGGAGTTGGAATGTACTAGATCGTAATGTGGGCATTCTGGTTTCCAATGTGTCTATGTGGATGTGGTTTTGAGGAATTTTATTTACTTGAGGGAATTGAATCACCTTATATCCTTATTGTAAATAACAACTATAAATAACTACCTTGATTTGATTACAATTTTTTCCCCCATGGAAGCAACTAATATTGTATAAAATCAACATATTGTTATGTGTCTTAAAATAGAGGATATACAATAAATGGTATCTAAGATGACTTTTATCTCTAATACATGATCTGTTAGTTTTACTAAATAGATGCAAGTGATGCTATAGCTACTACTTTTGCACATATGTCAAAGTGCACTGTTCTTTACAGTTTGCTTTCTGGCTTAATTTTCATCAAGGGGTTCGAAGTAGCTTCACTCTACCTGCTCAATGCAGCTATGCTCGTCTGAAGGTGCTGCACGACTATTTCAATTGCCCATTCATGTCTTTCATGGATTCTGTAAAGTACATTTGATTCTTCTTTTCTTTGGGGAAGACCTTGAAAGAATTTAAATCTAAATGACATGAGGAATATGAAAATACTTTTAGGAAAATGTTACTACAAATGTTGACATCTTTGAAACATATCTGACTGAGATACCAAACTTGGATGGAGACAGAACTGGATGCAGAATTTTAATTTAAATTATACTTAACTGAATTTACCTGTGGTCATTTTCCCATTTAGGATTTTAATTTGGACTGATGCTCTGAGGGTAGACAGGGGGCTGTTGGCCAGTCCAAAGCATTTTGAACAAGGTATGTTGCTCTATGCTTTATAAAGAATTACAGAAACCATCTACGGTGCATAGTTTACACAAGCCACCTACTCTCCTAAGGCAATGGTTTCAATCATTCTCTTCTCCTCCTTCCCTGCCTGCACCCCCTACACGTTTATTGGGTACCACACATCCTATTGATTCCACTTCAGAAGCATCCCTTAAATCTTAATTTAAGCTCTCCTCATATCTCTGATGAACCACAGTGGCTTACATCAAACTGAAGATATTATTAAAGATTTCTTACTCTGTCGAGTGGAACTAAGCACATTTCTACAACATGACTTTTGTTCTCTGATGATAAGCTCAAAATCCCCAGGGAGTTCCAGGACATCCTCCACAAAGCTCAAGAAAAATCTTTCTCAGGCTCATTTGATCATCTCCCTTCCCTGGTAGAAAATCTCCCAACAGCTCTTCTTTGATTGTGAAATAGTCTAAACTCCATTGCTCAGCATCAAAACTTTGTACTTGCTTCTCTGCTTTTCTTAAGAATTCTTTATCCCTGTCCCAGCCCTGCACTGTGCGACACACTCACATACCCCACCTGTGCTTTAACTACGTCCCGTGACTTCTTATTCTTCAAATACATTATGTCCTTTTAAGCTGTTGAGCCTTCACGCATGACTTTTCTTTTATCTCCAATGCCCTTTGCCTTGTCCTCCACTGACTTTGTCCACCTGACGATTCTCCTCATTAATCAAAGTCCAGTTCAAAATCCTTCTCTCGGTAACTTTCTGGTATCTCTCGGGACACAGTAGCTGCTCTCATTAGCTCATAAAGATGTCTATTTTTCTTGCGCCATGTTTTATATCAGTTGTTTTTCCCTCCGTATGCCTCACTCATTTGTCTGCTCCTCGAGAGTAAGGATGTTGCTTATTTCATCTTTGTGTTTCTGGACTCAGAACATGCTTTATGACTAAAGAAATGGAAAACTTCCTGTTCTCTAAAGGCTTGGAGTCCAACACAAGTACTGATGAAAACACATGCAAAGAGGATTCGATCAACAGAATAAAGGATGAAGGCTCAAATATAAGAGAGTTAAGAATTTGTATGCTATATGTTTACTTATGTAGCGAATTAATTTGTATCTATTATATCTGTGGCAGATATGTCAAAAGACTAAGAATAAAAGTTAGAGACAGAGGGTGAAGCCCTAAGGGCCTGTCCATGGCTAGGAGAATTCTTTTACTTTCCCTGTGAGGACAGCTGAAGCTAGGGTGTCTTCGAATGCCAACAAGGAAGATGTCAAAGAAACAGGTGCTTAATCTGTTGACGTTATTAAAGGCATTTTCTCTAAATTAGTGGCACCGAGAAGCTTTCACTAAGTTTTCCAACTGTTTGATCACATACTTCAGTTCTCTGTTGGATGCTACAGCAGCTTTTCTAGGTCTGCGCACATGACATTTTGAGACAAACCATGTCTTTACCAGGATTGCAAGGTCTTTGTCTTCTGAGATCCATGACATCAGCTGAAAAGTTGTTACACTGAAATGTTGTTTGATTGACTGAATTTGATAAAATTTAGGGGAGTTAAGATATATAAGGAAATACATTTTTCAAGTCTGTGTGAACTAGGCCAGAAGGGATAAATATATGTTCTATAGCAGAAACATTTAAAATTCACATATTTTAAAAATATAAAGAAATTAGAATAACTGGTACAGAAGTTCTGCTTGTACTCTTTTCTTTCATAGCCTTTCCTGGTTCCTGGTTCTGGGGGTGGAGCTGAGCAGACTGTATATACTCTAACCTGGGTTAGAAGGCAGAAGCTGTAGCTTGTTGCGCTGGTTGCTTTAGCACTGGTGTCTAACATTTCCACTATTATGGAAATCATTTAACCTTTTTGGCCTTGCTTTTCTTAACTGTGAAG